TCTGTCTCACCAGGCCACTCGCTTGTCTCGTCCCGCCTTCCTCTCCCCACGAGCACCCCCCAGGCCCCCAGGAGAGATATCCAGGCCAGGTGGGTGGAGGACGTCTCACAGGGGCCTGTTCCTATGTTATCAGCAGTGCTAATATAAAGAAGGAGGGGTTGGAGAGAAAGGATACAATCAGTAGCTGTAGGTCACCATTCTGTGTGCTTTGAATATTTGTGATAATCGCAAGTGGACTACTAATGATTAAGTGCAATTACACTTTTGTTGTCGACAGAACCTTTCTACTGATTTCTCCTGTCACCCCACCAAAGCGCCAAGCTAACCAACCTGGCCATACTCCTAACTTGGGAGGTGAGTGCGAAGGAAGGGTGTTCTCAAAGACATACCATCCGGATGACATTTCTTTTAAAAACATCACAGTGTGAGTTGTTGTAACTAAGAATGATTTCTTTCTTGATTGAAAGGATTCTTACACAACCCATTCTCATCTGGTATGGTTAGAGTTATGTTCACACTTCTTCTAATGGTTTCACTACTGAAATTTTTGTTGTTGCTGTTAAACAGTGAGGTGTATCTGAGAATGGTTATAAGTTAGCCTGACTGAATTTCAGTGGAGAGGGAACAGAGATGCCAGTTCTATGTGGCTGCAGTCCCCCTCTTGCATTCCCCATCCCCAGGGCGTGAGACCAACAATATCTCCACATATCCCACTGTGGCCCCTCTCTTTCCCTAGTGTGAAAAGACCAAGGAATGATCATAAACACTGTCTGTGAGAGGTTTCAGGGATAATGTCGAAGTTAATTCACTTTTGAGGTAATGTCTGAGAGACAGAGACATCGAAACAGAGGAAAGGGGGAAATAGAAGTACGGAGACACTGAGGGGCGTGGTGACTCTGGATTGTAAGAGAGCCACCTAGATATGTGGACATGAGCAGACAAGTCTGCTAATCCTCCCTACCCATTTCTCTATAGATCTATAGAGAGAAGATCAGACAGGGAGATGGAGACACCCACCACAGGATACCCCATTCACAGGGTGTCAGGGAGAAGCAGAGAGAGGCCAAGCGTTCCCGAGAGAGACCCAGAAAATACAGAAACAGAGATTTATACAGAAACACATAGAGAGTGACAGAGACAGAGCAGAGAGAGATGCAGAGAGAGAGGCGCTTGGATATCTAGACCAAGCCTCCCTCCCCCAGCCCAATATATCAGGGCTCCAGTAAGGGGCTGTGGCTGAGACCTTCTGCGGCAGCCCAGGGCCTTGTACAAAGAAAGGGGGCATTTCCAAGAGGAAAAGAAGTGGTCCAGCTAACAGAAGGACAAGGTTTGTAACTCAGCATTTGTAGGCAACAGAAAACCACCAGCCTGTCCCCTGGCTTCCAGAGTGACTTAAAAGACTCCCACTTGCCAAGGGGATGATACCCAAAGGGGCTTATTGCTCCAGAAAGAGTGAGCCTGTAATGCAGCTGTTGTGAGGCTTTGGGGTCTCACTGCTTGTACATTAAAGTTGTGATTTTTCTGTTCTTGACAAGGTCATACGTTCCAGGAATGGCAGAGCCCCAGGAAAAATGTGCTTCTTCCTGTCTTCTTGCCTCTGGGGAGTATGAAGGAAGCCTCCCATGGCGCGGTGCTGATGAAGCGTGTATGAAGTATGGGAAGGATGGAAGGCCGCTCTGTCTAAGCTGTTCTGCACTGCTCAACATTTCTCTCCAACAACTGTCAACATGCATATATATATATCATACGCATATGTATATATACCAACATGCATATATATATATATGTATATACACACACATATATATATAGACACCATGCCAGGCATCCCCAAGGGAAGAAGAAGATAAGATGGGCCGAAGCAGGACCTTGGTCCTTTTGGAGCCTCCAGCTCCATGCTGTTGGGCCATGTTTATCCTCAGGAAGAGAGTCTGCTTCATCTTGGCAAAGATGGCCAGGGATGTCACCTGACTGGTTTCTGTGGGTTGTTAAGGGAGGCGCCCTCATGAATAGTCACCAACAGTTGGGCTGACTCTAAGTAGGTCATTGCTGGTTCTTTGTACAAAAGGAATCCAACTGCTAGCATTGTCCACCTGTCCATATTTAAATGGATTACACTGTTAGCTCAGCTTGGCTTGAATACAACTTGGCCGTGAGCCAAGGAAAAACATAGAGCTTTTGAACCAGAAAGATGCTCATTGTAAGTGAAGGAGCTTGGAGACTGGCGTGATGGACCACAGCTAATCCAGGCTTGAGCCAGAGCTGGACACCCAAGTCTGCAGACCTCCAGCTCTGAACTTTCTCCGCAAGACACAGAACTGCCGAGGGACTCTGTCTACTCTGATGATGTAAGATTAACCCTCACCAACAATATGTTTTTTTGAAACCATTGATGAGGAAGGGAGACTATCATATTTCAAGTACAGAGCTGCTCATTTTCTTTACCTTGTAGGTAAACAAATTCGACGTCAAATAAGGGGCCATGGACAGGTGAGCAGTACAATAGGTAGAAGCCCCTTTGCAGGGGCAGGGAAGCTCCTTTGCAAAGCAAGCATTCAGGTTGCTGCATCAGAAGAAAATGAGTGGCTAAAGGAAAAGAGGGCAGTGAATAGCCTCTAATTATCCTACCAAGAATCCAGTGTTAAATGATGTTACATTACAAAAGGGAAAGTGAGACACACTTTGTGAATGAGTGGGGTCTCTATCTTTTTTACTGTAAAAAACTTTCTCTAAGTAAGGAAGCTAGAAAAAAGCAAAAAATACAATAAAAAAAAAGCCAGTAAGAAGGTAGAAGGATACACCGACTTGCAGAGTAAATCATCTTTCAAGTGGCATTGCTTCGCTTGCGACAACAGTCACATTTTTCCTCAAATGAAGTCAGAAAGGATTTTAATTTGACATCTCCCTAGTTATTTCTGTTGAGTCTCTTCCAGGGAAGGGAGTGGGGCAGGCACAGTCTTGGTTTTCAGAATGCAGAGATCTCAGTACAGAGAAATGGGACTTACCCAGAGTCAATATGTTGAAGTGAGGACGGAAACTCATGAAGTCAAATTGTTACAGGATTAGAAATCTAGAAAAACTTTAGAAAAGACTGCGTCCAATGACCCCATTTTATAGATGGGAACTCTGAGCATGAATAAGAGAGAGAGATTGGTATTTCATCTGTATTGTGCATTAAGCACGAAACAGTCCCATCTTGGATGAAAGCATGCTCCACTCAGATGTAGAACACTTCCTGGGATGGGATGGCAGTAAAGGCTTTCTTTATTACGATTATTATGAACAAAGAAAGAGCCCATGGATGCTAAGAGAAACTCCAGAAGTTTGTGGAAATCCCTCAAAGAAGCTGTGCCCTCTCTCCTGCAGCCCACGATCCCGTCTATCCCCTCCTGAAAGATGATTCTGAACGACACGTTTTGGTTGACTGTGGAAGACCCCGAGTGGAGACATACTCCGTGTCCTACTCACACCTCACAGAGGAAATGACCCGGTCGGGTGGCTCAGGGAGAAATTGGTGCTACCAGTGTCTAAGGCAGATTCGTGGTTAGATGCGTAAGACATGATGATTCTTGGGAAAGTTATTTAAGTTCCTTAGATTTTTATTTTCTCACCCATATATTGAAAAAATGGAGTCTACCTCATAGGATTGTTGTAAGATTAAATGACTATGTGTAGATAAAAATACCTAGAAGAGTATTTGGCCATTGAAATGTTAGCTGTTTTTGTTAAAGTATCTGTGAATTCACTTGCAAACACAGGGCCATGGCCTTGTGTGTGAGTTTAGAGATTGACACACTCATGGAAGTTAGTTCATTGAGTTCTAAATAAAAGAAATTAAGCATTTGATTCAGTCCATCCAGCATCGTGAGGATCAGCCAGCAAAATCTGCTGAGCTAACCATCGGACAGTTCTTTGTTCTAGTGTTACCATGTTGTAATACAGACTCTCCTGCCCGGGAAAGACTCCGTGGTTCTATTTAGGGCACATTGTGTCTGAGCTCTGCTTCACTTTTTTGCGCTCTCTCTGAAGTCTTCCCTGATGAGTCCATCCAGAAGTGCTGATGGTCCCCACCTGATTCCTGTAATATTTATAATCTGTGCCACTCACTTTATATTTAGTATTTATTGTGTTTTATTGTTTGCTTTCTGTCTTTTGCTGTGCATATGTTTTCTTTCTCAGATAAGACTATAAACCTTTGGGGATTGTGTTACTCACTTGATTTACTCACTCTCTTACTCCCTTTTGTATGCCCAAAGTGCAGAGCAGGTGTGTTGCTCATAGAACATGTTCAATAAAGACCTCTGATTACACAGCCGTGGGTTTGATGATACTGGCTTTTCAATTCCCAAATGACCCGGTACTTAATGAGCAACCTCAGGAGAAATGACCTAGTTCCACAAACGTGGCCTCCTTAGTTGCCATTACTGTAAAGATGTAACAAAACTGCCTTTCCCTTATTTCTCCTTCATGTCAGCATTTCCCCTGGTGATACTGAAACGGAGGTTTGCATTAGGTTTTGTGGCTCGGAGGAACTATGGAAATAGGAGACAGTAGAATCGGGATGTGTGGGCTTTGGTGGTGAGAGAGGAAATCCAGGCTTGGCTACCCTGTCAGAAATCAGACCACATGAAGTTTCCAGTAAGTGGAGACTGTGCCTTCTGTGACTGAATTCCCATGGTCATGTCCTGCGGCTCACTAAGAACTCTTGGGCCAGTTATTAAAAAATAAAACAAAAATCTCTTTGGTGAAGGTAGGGATTAGATCATGATTTACCGATACATTTCCTAGCCAGTTTTTCCCCAAGCTCAACACCGACATAGGCAAACTGTGATCGCCCTTAAAAGTCTTCATTCACAGGGGCCCAACTTTGCATTTTATCCCCCGTGTTCTAATTACATTGGTGCCGTAGATGCAACCTGGTCTCATGTGATCGTCTGAGATAAAGATGAGGAATTAAAGCACAAACAAGTGACTCATTTTAATGGATTTACTCCAGACAGGAGAAACCTGTAATTTCTCTTAGGCGTGCTTGATGGACCCATTGTGGAGTGAATCACAGACTTACACAAGCCTTGAAACCCCGGGCGGTTTTACAGTTCTCAGATAGGCTTCTCACAATCGGTGGCTGGTTTGCACCGGGCCCTCTTGGATTTCTCTTTGAAAAATGGAGAAAAGGCGTCACAGGCGCTGAAGGGGGACCATGGGACCTGCAAGGGGAGGCACCCGGGATGGTGGGGCACAGTGGCTGGAAGCTCGGTGCCAACTCTCCTGCCTGGCTGCTAGCTTTCCTGGATGCGGTGAGTACCCATGCCAGGAGCAAACCTTCCTCTGACTGAAGACTGGATTGGTTTTGCATGTATTCTGGAATGGGGAAAATGCACGATTTCTGGTGGTATTCTCTAGAGTGCTTGATTCTGCAGGAAGCCTTCCTGACATTATTTAGAAATTGGCTAGCTCAAGGTTGAAGTCCGCCCTTGATCTCTTTTATATTTGTTTTTCTTTAAGAAGTCATTTGTCAGGATCTAATTGCTCACTCCCAGGAGTGAAAATGCAAAGCACTCTGTCAGGCAATTTGACTCTGTTTTCTGACTGTCCCTTTGCTTGATAAAGTGGATAAGCAAACCAACTTTCAATTCCCTTCCTTTGGGCTGAACGTAAAGATTTATATAAATTATTATAAAGCATTCCGTTAGTAGTTTTCTTCTTTTCATTTATTTATTTATTTGACAGACAGAGATCACAAATAGAGAGGCAGGCAGAGAGAGGAGGAAGCAGGCTTCCTGCTGAGCAGAGAGCCTGATGCGGGGCTTGATCCCACGACCCCGGGACCATGACCCGAGCTGAAGGCAGAGGCTTTAACCCACTGAGCCACCCAGGCACCCCACCAGTTTTCTTCTTACAGTGAGGCTGACAAAGCTGTCTGTATATCAACTTAAAAGGAAACATTTCCTCTAGTGATGGTTAAGCCTTTTTGTAAAGGGCATCTACCCTTGTTTTGAGTGGTCTACTGCACACCATTTAATTGCCTATATTCCTTGTCCTCTGAGGACAATTGTGACCTTTTAAATGTGTGCTGTAAGGTGCTTTTGTGTGTGTGTGTGTGTGTGTGTGTGTCAGTACTTCAGTGACCTTTCTTCCCAGAGCCAAGCAATCGCTCAGTTGACCAATTACTTTAAAATCCTGTAAGTCTCGAGAGAGTTGGTGAGAGGCTAGATACCTTCCAGCTATGAAATTGTGTGATTCTTCAAATATAACAGTATTTGAACCAGACTGCCGTTCTCAGAAAAGATACTGAGACACAAAGAGATTGGCTGGAAGCCATCTCAAATAGCCCAGGATAAGACGCTTCTGATTCTAATAGATCTTTTCTATCTTTCTTTCCCCCAAGGCTCTTTATGAGACTGCTCCGCCATGGCAAGGGACAACTGGTAAGAGTGACTGAATCCGTTCTATTACTGAGGCCAAGCAACACGCAAACAACTTGTTTAGCCGTCTGACTCTATAATCAGCTCTAATTACCACCAGTGGTGTAGATGGGACGTACGGTTATGAAATTCGGCTGAGGGGAACACAACACACACACCCCAACATGTAGGTCAGCAGTCTCTGAGTTCCTCACCTTCAGTTAACCTCTCTGAACAGGGCCTTCCCATCGAAGGGATTGGCCAATGAGTGTGAGGTGAGTTGCTACCCAGAAGGTGAACCAACAAGTGGAACCCCCTGCCCCGGCCACCTCACGTTGGAGTGAAGGTCATGGGGACAACACTTTGAGACAGTGTCCCCTCCGTTGGCAAACATCCTCACCCAGCTTACCTTGGGGTGTTCTGTGTGGAGGAGTTTGAGAGATCACGGCTTCCAATGCATTCTTTCCTTCCTGACTATGGTTACTATTCCCAGGCTTACCTTTTTAAATTTGCTTTGAGAGTCCTGATGCTAGCTCTCATGCAGCGTGTCTGGGCAGGTGGGGAGTGCCTGGGTTTCATGACTCATATCCTACAACCCCATTCTAGGGAAGATCAGAAACAAGCTCCAGGACCCAGGCAGACTAATTGTATTTCTTGATTCCAACTCATTCAGAAACCCAGCTCTTAGTACAAGGGAGGTGGGAAAAATAGGAGATGGTGTGTCAGAACCACTGGGGTCTTCTAGGTCTGTCCGAGAAAGGGCTTTGTGAGTTCTGACCGTGGAGATAGGGCAGAAAGGGTGCTTGTGCTGCCATGCTGGGAGCAGACATCACTCACCTGGTGTGGCCTTGTCTCTTGCCGATCCTAGACAGGACCTCGCAATCCTATTGCACAGAGGCTCCAAGCAGTATAACAAAGAGGTAGGTTGGGAGCATGTCTACTTAAATCACTAGGTTCCAAAAGGATCTAGAGTAGCACATATGCTCACCTCCCCCTCTAAAGTCGAGAACTTGCCTTGTGATTTTAAAGCAAAGACTTCCAAAGTTGGTATCGTTCTCTGTGGGGCCATTCACTTATTCATTCACTTATTGAACACATGCTGTCCGGGTAACTATTACCACTCTTACACTCTGCTGGGTGCTGGGGACCGAGAAATATCCCTTCCTATTCACCTCCTAATGACAACATGATTTTTTTGGTTGGAGGGAGGTCTATTCTGTTAGGTGTGGGCTAATTTCTCTCAGGCTCTGGGGCTGGGAACACTAGCTCTTGTGCTCTTTTGACCCTTTGTCATCAGGTCTTGGAGCACAGGTAGTGAGGTGGGAGGCATCCCTTGCTGGGAGTTCTCTTGGGAGGGATATCCTGAGTCACATGACCTCTGGGACCCTTCAGTCTAACTACATTGTCCTCCTAGCCTCGGGGAGCAAGCAAAGGTGATTTTCTCTCTCTCTCTCTCTGAAGTAATCACTCTGTTAGAGCAGAGTCTGGCTTCCATTCAGTGGCCTAGAATTGCCTATTACCAAGTGAAAGACAAAAGTGGCTGGTAGTGGGCAATTCACACTTCTATGAGGATGCACAGAGGGAGGGAAGTAGGTTAGGAAGCAGGGAGGAGGAATTTGGGATGTTACTTTTCCAGTACCTAAGAAGCTGTCAATTCCAGGTAGCTCGTTGCTTTTATCTCTGAAATAGGCCAACTTTCAGGCACTTTGGGAACAAGATACAGGGCATGTTTCTTTGTAAATGTCAGGTAACTATTCACCTAATCGCCACAGAAGCCTCAGGCATGAGTTCTGCATCTTGTTTTCTCTTCTTCTTTTTAATTATTCATTTCTGAGTCTGCCTTCCCCTTCCTGGGATCATCCCAGACCCCTGAGATGTCTTTCATCCCTGCCTTTCCTCACCTCTCCACCCAGAGAATCATGTGTCAGGATGATTCTGACTCTTCTCACCATTAAAGATGACCTATCCATTGCCTCCTTCTTTCAGGATTCCCTAAGTTCTGGTCTGTTACTCTCTGAGGCGCTACTTTGGGTCCCGGGGAGTGGCCTCCCGGGCAGGTGTTAGCATAGGGGCTGGCACATGGTAGGTGTCCAACAACTGCACGCGTAGTCTGAGTCTGGATACGCTAATGTGTTCCAGGATGACACACGGTCCTTAAACAGCAGCCTTAAATTCCCCCAGAGCACCTTGGATGAGAAGGTGCCCCCATATATATATGAGGGGTGGGCGGGGTGGGGAGGTTGGTGCAGGGACACATGGTTTCTCCAACTGATCTGACCATGGAACCCCTTAGTCTGTTATGAGACCAGTGTTCCACAGAAACCCACTTCAGGACACAGTATCTTGGGCAACCTCAACTGACACCAAGCTATGTATGGTTTGCCTTACTAAATAAAACAGGCAGTTTTCCTGAAATCACAGAACATTTAAGTCAGTGTAGGGTCATGTTTTTCTTCCATTCTTCTAAAATTCAACTTTGGTGCCTGCTACAAACTTGGTAAACAAGTGGCGGGTAGCAAGTGTCCACCCTAGGCATACAGCACTCTTCTGTCAGGATTACTGCTTACTCTTTTTATGTTCCCCCACCATGTACTAGGATCTTGATTTAAATAGCCAGGGACAGTTTTTCCCAACAAACCGTTTTTCCTGCCACCATACCCGAGGGGCATAGAGAAGTAGCGATCTTATGAAAATGCAGTTTTGTTGTTAAACTGAACACACTATAAAGCCAGAGGTCAGTAAATGGCATGAAGGTCATCTTAGCATACTGGACACAGAATAACTCTGGGTTCTCCATGGAGGAGAGGACCAGGCCTTGACTCTAGCACTCTTTACTAGGAACTAGTAGACCCCTGGGCCAGGCAAGTTGTCTTTACTACGTTCACATCTGAAAGAGGCTTCTTTCAGTACTGTCTGTGTTTTTGTCAACATTCTTTTGGACAATCCACTCTTGTCACATGTATTTAGATTTTATGTCCTTGTTCTTTTCTTCATTCTTTTAAGAGGTCACTTGCTACCTGCAGACACTGTGCTGGGTATTGGAGAAATAACAAATATTTATATTTTAGGTTTATATTTGTATTCAGTATTTTTTTTAAGAGAGGGGGTGCAAAGGGAGAGGGAGAGAGAGAATCTTGAGCTGGCTCCACGCCTAGTGTAAAGCCCAGCATGGGGGTCGATCTCACAATCCTGAGATCATGACCTGAGCCAAAATCAAGAGTCGGACGCTTAACCAACTGAGCCACCTAGGTGCCCAGAAATACTTTATATTTGCAGAAAATTTTCACTTCAGCATTATGTAAAATGCAAAGTCCGCTTTAATTATTAAGTCTTTATCAATGGTGAATCTAAGTATGTTTCTTCCATTCTGTTCTATAAAATATCAGCCTCTGATTATGAATTATGCCAGATATACTTCATTTTATTTTTCAATTCACCATTTCAGAGCGCCAAAGCTCTGGCTCATTGTGTTCTGCAGAACACTCTGGCTTTTGGCTTCAGCTATCTATACGATGGTGGGACAGATTCCATTCTATTCTTTTTGGTGAGAGGAGAAAAAAAACCCATTTGGAGCTACCTTGAAAACATTTCTCCATCTGACCCATCCCTACCGATCAAACTAGGCAAAAATAAGAATGTTGTGCCTCCTCTTGGGTAACATTATTAAACATCTCCTCCTTCCCACTTGTAATAATTGAAGGAACTTTACCATATAATTATCATATAAAGTAGTAGATGGGTTACGTACACCAGGCTATAAGAACATGAATGATGAAATAGCAAGTTAATTAACCAAAACTCCCCAAACAGCTAATTGTGCTCAGCTCAATGTTTGTGTTTCATGTGGTCATGCTTATGATTTCACACTACATATAAGCGATCTGTTAGAAAGTTTTTTCTTAGGAAAAAAAAATTATTATTATTAGTTCATCATGTTCCACAAAGAGCATAATGATCTACAGAAAATGCCATGCCTAGTGGATCCTTTAGTCTCCAAACACTTTCAGGAGCCGTGGACTTACAGAGGCCCTAACACTGCTCAGGAAAACAAACAGTTTTGAACTTCCTAAACCACATCAGATCACATCACATCATTGTGCCAAATGCCTGACTTTCTTCCAGCAAGATTAACTTTAAATTCTTATATTGAAAACTGTGGACAGTAAAATGCTTCCTTCTGAAGCCTTAGATAGCAGGCATCATTCCTTATAAGTGGCCTCCTGTTGGTTCGTCTTCACTCATTTCACTGTGCATTTCAAACCACTGCTCTCTAGGTGGAAGAGAATTGCATTTAACCTCAGCATCCGTCCTATTATTTGGCTCTGAACGTAGGTGTCTTTTTCCCCAATTGCGTGTACCTTGGGAAGAACATTTCGATAGATTGTGAAAAAGTAAAGAGGAAGGACCAAAGAGACCGCTTCAGTAGGAGAAGTGAATGATTTTCAACTTGGTAATGAAAATGAATGGTGCATTCTGTATTTCTCTTTCTCAGATTGCAGGTTACAATCCATTAGAGGGTTGTGGATTCAATTTAGTGGGTGGCAACCAGTTTCCGAAAGAATGTCAGATAGAGTGGAATGCAAGTTAAAAATCATGGACAGAGCAGAGAGTGTCTTGCTCATAGGTGGGAAGGATAAGAAATATATAAAACCTTTTAAAATATAAAAATTATGTATTTTTCCAGTCTTATGTATGGATACCTATACACATACATATATATGTCTGTACACATTGAGTCATGATATAAGATCTGTTTTATTACTGTGTCAGGATAAAAATTTTGGAAAGCTACCGGTGTATATGTGAAATATACAGATAGATCTAAGACAGCTTATATTGGTTCTTCTGGTATTTCCTTTTATGATGATGGTTAAAAATCTATCCTACAAGGAAGATATGGTCCATATACACTATGGAGTATTATGCCTCCATCAGAAAGGATGAATACCCAACTTTTGTATCAACATGGACAGGACTGGAAGAGATTATGCTGAGTGAAATAAGTCAAGCAGAGAGAGTCAATTATCATATGGTTTCACTTATTTGTGGAGCATTAACAAATAACACGGAGACATGGGGAGATGGAGAGGAGAAGGGAGTTGAGGGAAATTGGAAGGGGAGATAAACCATGAGAGACTATGGACTGAAAAACAACCTGAGGGTTTTGAAGGGGTGGTGGGTGGGAGGTTGGGGGATCCAGGTGGTGGGTATTATGGAGGGGGAGTATTGCATGGAGCACTGGGTGTCGTGCATAAACAATGAATTCTGTTACACTGAAAAGAAAAAAAAAACTACCCTAAATAATATTAATATTGCAAATTGCTTAGTTTGCCCATCCACCAATTTGCCGCATATATGAGAACTTCTTTCCACCCACTCATGTAAGATCTTGAATTCCACAAACATATCCCAGCAACTATGCAAATCCATTACCACACTTTGCCTGTCATTCTGCCATGTTTCCTTTCCCCTGCTCAGACTTGCTATACAAGATGACAGTATAAGTCCAAATACGTCTCCCCATTCATTGGTTAGGAACGCAAAGAATTTTAAGCTCAAAGACAATTTGGAAGCCTTCCTGTAAGTGCCTGTGGCTCATCCTCTCATGTGAAGGCTCACTGCAGTCATGAAAGACCATCTTAGTCTTGACTCCACCCAGGAAAGGTCTGACAATCACTGATCAGTGAGTTTTCTTTGCTCTCTGGCCACAGATTGCCTGGTGAGCATAGATGGATCAGAGTTAGTTCACCTCCATTACAACATAAAGGAATTTACATTTGCTGAGGCTCAGTTTCTGCTTGGCCTTATTCACTAGGTAGAGTATGTAGCTGATCGCTCTTCCCACTATTGGTTTGACTTGTCTGAATTCCCCACTAGACATCCTTTATGGAAATGACAGCACCCTTTACTTCCCTATCCCCAACATCTGGCACAGTTTCTGACAAATAGGAGCCACCTGATAAAGGGTGGTTGAGAGAATGAATAATCATCCTACATTTTATGAAATGGATGAGAAAGAATATAGGCTCAGCAAATGTCAAATAGCTCATCAATATCATAAATGTGATTGACAGCTTAGCTCATGCTGAATCTAAAGTCCATGACATTTTTACTTTGCTGCATCTGTGCTATGAGAGAATTGTTCTAAGGAACTTTGCTTCCAATAAATTGTCTTAGTTTCTTCTATCCTGTAAGAGAAGTATGGTGGTGATGATCAAATCATGATGATGTTGATGAACTTCAACTGTGATGGAGATGCTTTTTGGAAATTTGTCTTTGAAAGGTAGAACTAGCAAGAAAGAGGCATTATCAAAAGAAAAATAATTGTAACTGTGTGGTGATAGATGTTAACTAGACTTACTCATTTTACAAAAATACAAATATCAAATCACTATGTTGTATGCTTGCAATTAACACAATGTTACATGTCAATTATATATTAAAAAGAAGAAAAAGGCAAGAAATAGAGATATAGCCAAAGAATAATTATCTTTTCATGCTTCTAGTTTCTCTGTATAATAGTTGATCCATCTATAAGAGAGAATCTCAGTGCTTGCTCCAATAACAGACAATAGTGTGTATTCATTTCATTTTAAGTTCCTTGACCCCCTTTGTCCAGAGAGACAGTACATTGTAGAACAGTAGTTCTCAACTGGGAGCAAATTCCTCTCCCAGGGCACATATGCCCATGACAGACATATTTGGCTGTCACAGCTAGGGAGGAAGCTGTTCCTGGCATCTATTGGGTTGAGGTCAGAGATGCTACTGCACATCCTACAATTTACAGGACAGCCCCCAACAACAAAGAACCATCCATCCCCAAAATGTCAATAATACCATTGCTGAGAGATCCCATCCTAGAACTTGGCTTTCCAGCTGTACTATCTGGGTTGAACCCTTGGCTCCACCACTTTTTATGAGTGACCTTGACTCATAGTCACTTTGTACCTTAGCTTCTCCACTAATAAAATGAAGATGGTAATACTGTCTTACATCATCTGATTAAATGAATTAATGCAAAGAAGGAGCTCAGAAAATGATTGGTAAATAAAGGTTCTTGATAAATGTTATGATTAAAGAAAATCGTGGATCAAATAATCAGAAATGATTCCTTGGTGAACATACATCCTTCCTAGTACTTCCATCACTCCTGTCTATTGTTTGCAGACAAGTTGCCGTTGAAGGAAAGTCTTTTCCATTTTTTACACATTAGCTAGTTTGAAAGTAGATATTGGTGTCCTTTCTGGAAGCAGAATGTTTTGGTATGAACATCTCAGAGTAACCACTAGGGTCACCAAGGGGTTGGTTAGTCGGCTAAGTTTTGTGTTGTCTGGCTTTATCAACTCCACCTGAATCCACTTTCATTCTGTATTGCAGGTGAAGATCCTAATGTGTGAAAATGAAGTCCCAGGCAACCATGATTTGCTGTTTAATGTTCTTTCTGGGAATAGAATGTTCTCACTATAAATCCAAGGTCCACATAAAAGTAAGTTTGATCCATTCTCAAGTGGTCCCATGAGAAATCTGCCAGGTCTCCTAGATGAGTTAAATTTATGACAAATAACATGATCTTAAATAAAATTTCAAATGACTACAATTTTACTCTTGCAGATATATATCTGTATCTATATATCTATATATATATATAGATATACATATCTATATCTATATCTATATCTATATCTATATCTATATCTATATCTATATCTATATCTATATTTCTTTTAAGGGAACAAAGAAAAGTTGAGAGGTGGCTGGGCCCTGCAACAGTATATTTGCATGGTGCAACAGAGCACAACAGTATAATAGAAAAATTACTTTGCAAGCCACAGAGAACATAGACAGGCAGTTACTGGGAGGAGGAATACTAGCCTGGCAGGTAGCATTTCAGCTCCAGACCTTATCTTTTCTTCTCGTTATCTGCATAAGTTGTTTTGATTCTTTGAGTTTTAATTTCCTTATCTATAACATAAAGGGTATTTTTTTTTTCTTTTAGATAATTTTTATAGCCCTTTACAGCTGCAGAAGAGTTTGTGATTCTATTATTGTCACCTAATGATTATTCCTAGCATCTGCTCATTTCTTCCTCTCTGGGGATCTATGGTATCTGGTGGATCGTATTAGCTTCATTTCATAGTTACAGTTAATACAGATGGAGACCAGCTTAGCATTATAATTACTACATCTCTTTTCTCCCTGAGTACTTGAGCTTCCCCAAATAGGTATCCAATCCACTAACCTGACCCTCAGGGCCCAAATGACCACTGGCAAGATTCTTGCCCTCCTCAGAGGAGGGTTTATTCTCTGTCTGTGCTCACCTCCATGATTCTGTCTGAAAATTTCTGTGACATCACATGCAGACCTGGTGCAGTTTTCTTCTGAGTCATGAACACATTTTCTCTTCATCTCCACATGGATCCTCTATGTTGAGATAAGCAAGGAGAGTTCCAGAGTAAAGAGGACCTTTGGGAATTTGTCTTTTACAGGATGGAGATAAACTTCAACATCCTGAAGGGAAACTCAAGACTGGAAGGATACAAGGTAGGTGTCTACAGAAGAGTGTTCTTCCATAAGGAGACTGGGCACAGTGAAGAAAGGGCATGGATTTGGCAGAGCATGTCCCCAGACCACAAACTTTCAAATGGCGTAACAGTCTCTAACAAGTTCTCATTGTTTACCGGTATTGACAGACTTTCTTACAATTATACCATTATCCATGGCATAGTCAATGACCCAAGTTGGCAAATTACTCACATGTGTTCTAGAGTAGAAGACAAGTGCTTACTTTAAAACCCCAAAGGGAAATCTGTTTGAACTAATCAGCTAGTAAGAGGCAGAAGAAGGAACAGGGAAGAATTCATTCCTTCGTGCAAAGGTATTTTCAGAATGTTTAAATGTATGTTACACTCTGGTGCTAAGTCTACTGAAGTGATGTAAGATAGGTATTGTGTTGGTGAGATGGGTTACTCTCAAAAACTCAGAAATAAACTATGGAGATAGTCATTAGTAGCAAGATAATGCAATCACATGGTTCTGACCCAAATAGCAGAGATCACTGGATTCTGCACAGACATGGCCAAGTATATTTTTAACAACAAATACATCTATACATTAATGTGGACTTGAGAAAAGAGGGAGAGAGATGGCTAACCTTCATTGAGCATTGGCAAAGCTGATTCAAGGGCTGAACAGGATGCTCACTCGTTCAAGTTTGTAACAAGACTGTGGCATCACCTCCAAACTGTATGGATGAAGAAATTAAGATCCACTGAGCTTAAATGACTTTGCAAAACCAGGGACAGTGGGTAGGTGGTAAAGAAAAATGCAAACTTTCTTGTTTCCTTTCTCTATGAATGGAGTCATCCACAGAGCCTCCCTTGACTCACAGACAGTCACCACATCTTATTGATTTCAACACCTTACTAGCTTCCATTAGGATCTACTTCTTTTCAGAAGTAGATCCTTCTTCCTGGGAATACTTCAACAACCTCATTCTTGGGTTCCTTGCTTCAAGTCAATCCACTCTACTCATGGGCCGAATTAGTCCTGCCACCAGGTTTTAGAAATAAAGTTTTATTGGAACACAGCCATGCTCATTTATGTACATATTATCTTTGATGGCCTTCATGCCACAAAGGCAGAGTTAAGTAGCTTTGAGAAAGACCACCTGGTTTACAATGCTGAAAATATTTATACTCTGGCTAGTTTTCATATTTAGCAAATAAAAATATGGAATTCCTCATTGAACTTAAAAATCAGATAAACAATGAATGATATTGCATGTGTCATACGAACATTAGAAACTTATTTATTGTTTAACTGAATATTTTCATTTGATCCCTGTTATTCATGGACTCTGCATTTATAAATTCTCCTATTCATTGAAACTTATTTGTGACCCCCAAATTACTACTCACAGTGCTTTCTGGATCATTCATAGACAGAAAAAAAATTTGAGTTAGCTCAGGTACAAGTTTCTAGCCAAACAAGATGGCACTCTGCCTTCTTGTTCTAGCTGTCCTACTATAAACAAGTGTTGTTTTTGTGGCATTACTAATGCCATATTTTTGCATTTTGTGCTTTTTGTTTGTGATTTTGCCATTTAAAATAGCCCTGACTATAGTTTCCTGAAGAGCTTTCTGGTGTTCCTAAGGAGGCTGTGATGTATCTTAAAGAGAAAATTCATGTGTTAGATGAGCTTTGTTCATGTGCTCTTATGAGTTATGGTACTATTGGCCATGAGTTCAATGGTAATGGATCAACAACATAAATGAAGTGTCTTTAAATAGAAACACATATAAAATGAGCTCATATATTAATCAGTTGATAAAAATGTGAGGAAAAGAATCTGCCTTGATTTCCCCTTATTCGGTGTTTGTGGAAGCAACTCCATAGACCATAACTATTGCAAATAATGAGAATCAACTATGTCTGAAAATAAATTTACTATTTAACTGGACTTCCGTATTTTATCTGGCAACTCTATCATGTTCTTTATGGAAAATTTTACTGCCTTCTGTTCTATGCTATTGTTAATCATCTTTCAAAAACAAATCTAATCATGTTTTCTGGTAACCCCCATATTAGCACAGAATTCAAAGTCCTTCATGTCTTGACTCCTGCTTCTCTCCCATCCTCATCTCTTGCCCCACCCCCCTCAGCTGCTCTAAACTAGCCTTTCTGTCTGACCTGTGACCCCTCCTTTCCATGTACTGTTCACCCTGCTTGGCACACCTTGCTTGGTGCTGAGGACTCTGTTCAATGTCACCTCCTCTGGAAAGCAGACAATTCCCAAATCCCTAGAATAAGTTAGCTGCCTCCGTCAGAGCTCAGTAAAGCTAATTAGGTCCCCTCCTCTCTCTTGCCTTTCAGAGAAATGCCAGGGACCTTGCATCATGGCTTCCAACTGCAGCCAGCCCTGTGCTCAGCACTTTCGTGGAGAAATAGGATTTATATGTCATCAAAACAAGTGGCAAAAATCAACGGAAACATGTACAAGCCTCTCCGTGGAAACACTCTTTAAGGTAAAGCATTTGCATATTATTGGCTTCCAGGGCTAATTTCTCAGGAAACCGTAGAGGCATTTTCCTGTGTTCTGTTCTGCACGACAATAAATCTCAGACTTGGACTTGGGAAAATGGCAGATTGTGGGAAATTTGTCTCTTCTCCTTCTTCCTTGCCCAAATTCTCAGATACTCTCCCCCCTCCTCACTCTCTCTTTCTCCCTCTCAGCATCTTTTCTTAAAAAAACTCCTTTACGCAATGGTAAATGCTTAGAGGTTGAAGTTTGAGTTTTGACCTCAAATTTTAGAGCTTAAAGTTTGAGATGGATTTGTGTGTATCTTCGCGTAATTACTGAACTCTAAACTTCTTGAAATTACAATTTAGCATCATTTGACCTGCCAACCTCCATCCATCCCCACCCACACAAATTTCATGAGACTCCCCTTTCAAAAAGTTAAAATAAGTAGACAGATTTTGTTTTTAGAATTTCTCCACATATCTGGAGAAAATGTCTTGTTATCACACTTGGGTTAAAACCACTATCCTGGGGCACCTGGGTGGCTCAATGGGTTAAGCCTCTGTCTTCAGCTAGGGTCATGATCTCAGGGTCCTGGGATTGAGCCCCGAATAGGGCTCTCTACTCAGCGGGGAGCCTGCTTCCCCCCAACCCCCACCCGCCTGCCTCTCTGCCTACTTGTGATCTCCGTCAAATAAATAAATAAAATCTTAAAACAAACAAAACAAACAAACAAACCACTATCCTGAAAGTGATAGGTCAGTATCCTGATCTCAGTGGCAATTTTGATGGAACTGCTTGTCTGGGTGTGACTCCATCCTACCCTCTCTGTCTTTCTTGGCATCTAAACCCCTTTTTAGTACCACTGGCTTCTCCATTTTCCCCACATGGTGTATTTGTGCCTTAGCTCCTTTATTCTGAAATATGTTAGGTATTTCATCATTTTTGAACAATTTTTTTTTTAAACAGGACTTCAATAGTGCATCACGCCTCTCCCTAGCAGCATCATCTGTGCCTGTTCACGTTCTTGATTTTCGAGCTCCAGAACCTGTGGAGAGTGTAGCCCAAGGAATCCTCAGGAACTGTCCAATTGATTATGCCTGCATACTTGATGTCGTGAAGTCATCAGAAGCCACGTCTGGAAACATCGCGTTCATAGTGGAGTTACTAAGAAATATTTCTACAGACTTGTCTGATAATGTTACCCAAGAGAAAATGAAGGTATTCTTTGACAATTTCCTTTAAAAAACTGGCAGGTTTCTTTTCTTTTTTTTTTTTTTTTTAAACCAAATCTTGCATTTTAACAGTTTCAAATGTACGGTCCAAAGTAAGACAGCCACAGCAACCATAACAACGATAGGCTTTTTATTTCAATTCTGCAGGTCAATTCACTCTAGCTTATGTAAGTTTTCAAGAAGTTAGCATATTTTTAATACATGTTTCTGTACAAACTTACTAGTTTCAAAAAAATATCCTGAAAGGATGGCTGTGAGCAAGAGTGTGTCTACTCCAGTGTTGCCCAAATTTAATTCTGTAGGACATAATTATTTTGAGAAATGTTAATGGAGGTTTCGTTTCTACAAGGGAGATCTGTGCATAGCAGATGTAGAAATTCTGGGTTAAACAAAGTTAAGCAGGTTTCCTTCTGGCAGAACTTTTTAGAACTCTTCATGTGTTAATGAAGTTTAGCCCTCTTTATAAAGGGGGGAGTATAGAGATACAGTATGCAGTGTTTCTCAAATTTAGGTTTTTATAGAATTTACCCCCAATTCCCTCCATTAAACAATCATTAATAGCTCACGAGAACTCTTGGGTTATATAGACTGCAGTTCGGAAATGCTGTCCCCGGGCACATAATAAAGTAGTAAACTTTATCTATACTTTTATTTTATTTTAATGATTGTTTTACTGTACTTCTCTCTCTGAAGTCCTCTTAGCATGAGATTCCAATAAACCGTGAATTTGAAGAGCAATATGTCAAAGAAGATCCCATCACTTGAACTCGAGAAATTTCAGGGTTTAGAGATTGAGTTTCTACACTAATGTGTAAATCCTTCGCATAACTTCCATTTTTTCCCTCCACTGCAGAGTTATAGTGAAGTGGCCAACCACATCCTTGACACAGCAGCCATTTCAAATTGGGCTTTCATTCCAGACAAAAATACCAGCTCGGATTTGTTGCAGTCAGTGAATCTGTTCGCGAGGCAACTGCGCGTGCACAATGAATCCGAGAACCTTGCAGATGAACTCTTCATTCAGGCAAAAGGGCTTCGCATCAACCACAATACCTCAGAGAAAAAGTTCAATTTCTCCGCGAGCATGAACAGTACAACAGAGGGTATCTTAGGGATGATAGAAATTCCCAGGCAAGAGCTGTGGAAGCTGTCACCAAATGCATCCCAAGCCATCAGCATAGCATTTCCCACCTTGGGGGCCATACTGAAGGAAGTCCGCTCGCAAAATGTGAGTCTTCCTAGACCTGTAAATGGTCTCGTCCTTTCGGTGATTTTACCGGAAGGACTGAAGCAAGTCTTATTTACCTTTGAGAAGATCAACAAATCCCGGAATGCCAGGGCCCAGTGTGTTGGTTGGCACTCGAGGAAAAGGAGGTGGGATGAGAATGCTTGTGAAACCACACTGGAGATCAGGAACAGAGTGAAATGCTTGTGTAACTACACCAACATGGTGATGTCCTTTTCCATTCTAATGTCCCCCAAATCTATAGACAACAAAGTCCTGTACTACATCACCTGCATTGGGCTCAGCATCTCCATCTTTAGCTTGATTCTTTGCCTGATCATTGAAGCCGTGGTGTGGTCCCGGGTGGTTGTGACGGAGATATCATACATGCGTCATGTGTGCATCGTGAACATAGCTGTGTCGCTCCTGATTGCTAATGTGTGGTTCATCATAAACTCTAACTTTCACAAAAAGGCCCAGGACTCCAACTGGTGTGTTGCGCTGACATTTTTCAGCCACTTTTTCTACCTCTCTCTGTTTTTCTGGATGTTCTTCAAAGCACTGCTCATTATCTATGGAATATTGGTTGTTTTCCGTAGGATGATGAAGTCCCGCCTGATGGCCATTGGCTTTGCCATTGGCTATGGGTGTCCACTGGTCATCGCTGGCACCACAGTTGCTATCACAGTGCCAGAGAAAGGCTACACGAGACCCGATGCCTGTTGGCTTAACTGGGACAATACCAAAGCCCTTTTAGCATTTGCCATCCCAGCCTTAGTCATTGTGGCCGTGAATCTTGTGGTGGTTTTGGTTGTTGCTGTCAACACTCAGAGACCCTCTATTGGCAGTTCCAAGTCTCAGGATCTGGCCATAATTATGAGGATTAGCAAAAATGTGGCCATCCTCACCCCACTGCTGGGACTGACCTGGGGTTTTGGAGTAGCAACGCTTATAGAAGGCACTTCTTTGATATTCCATATAATCTTTGCCCTGCTTAATGCTTTCCAGGTAAGTACCAAGAAAGAGACTTGTTTTATTAGTTAATATTATTAATATTTTATTTATAAGATACTATTTTTATTTCGTAACTTGTTATTCTGGCTATATGACATATACTGGCTATATGATTGAAAAATATAGAATACAAAATGTTTGTTCCATTTCTTACCATGTCTTGGAGACATTCAGCTGTGGCTCCTCTCACCCCATTGATTGTCAAGTTGGATTTAGCTTATCAGGCTGATTGGGTGGGAATCTCCTTCTTTCTGTTCTCAACCGGTCCACCTGTATCCCTCCTAAAGTGTTAGAAGAAGTTGACCTTCACTTCTAGATGATGTATGAATCTACACTCACATGGTATGCTTCAAAACAAAGCAGTTTTTTTCCTTTCTCAAGCAGTTTGGGAACTCAGTGGAACAGTCATTTCCCATAGGAGGACTAGACAGGACTTGCCATTCTCTTTGAGTGTTAACCAGTTAGGAGTCCTCATGGCTCATCCCTGTGAAATAAATGGAGGTTGTTCTTTGTTGAAATAGCTCTGGCTGTGTGTTGCCTGACCCTAGAAGTGTAACTTTTCTCTGGGTCTCACCCTTCTTCTTAGTAAGAAAAAGATTCGAATCTAAAGTCATCTCTCTTTTCTTTTCTCGCTCTCCCATACTTGGTTTGGCAAAATTAACCCTCCAAAAGTTGCTTTACTTTATGTTGGCTACTGAGCTTGTACTTTTGGGAAGCTGTCACTCGCCAGACTGCTTTCCATACCTATGAGGAATAGTAAATGTGGCAAGTTCGTATCCTTAATTATGCTTTTCATCAGGGGTTGGCAAACTCCAGCCCGCTTCCTGTTTTTGTAAATAGTTTTACTGGAATAAAGCCATAATCATTCGTTTGCATTTTGCCTATGGCTGCCTTTGAGCTACAACAGCAAAGCTGAGTAGCAGTAACAGCAACTGTGTAGCCCGCAAAGCCAAAAAGTATTTATTATCTGGTTCTTCACAGAAAAAACTTTTCCAGCCACTGCTTTAAATATATAAATATAACTGCTTAGTAAAGCAGCATGGATTCCTATGAATGGGTCACTATTACTCTATTTAAAAATGTGGTACAAAATATAAAGCAGACTTTTAAGAAATGCCAGCTCAGATCAATCATATATCTTACTCATATGTCTTTAATAACTATGGAGAACATTTATTTCACTCTTTGCCTTCCATGGCTTTAAAGAGAAATATTTGACTCAGGGTTGTTGTTGTTGTTGTTTTTTTTTTTTTTTTCCCCCCTGAAATCAAAAGCTCTTGGACTGACATAAATCTCCCCAAATCTTGAAGTTATTTTGGAGACTAATGATCTCATTCTATTTTTTTTTTTTTACTTTATAACTTAATTAAACCCCAGAAAGTTTTATTGTTTCTTTTCTGAATCACTTCTTTTTCTTTTTTCTTGATAGAAAAATACTGAAACACTTTTAGTTAAATACACTCCAACTTTTCTCAGCAAGTTTTCTCTGTGACTCACATTTAAAAGTTTCCATCTTCTGATAAGCGTTTCTTTGCCATGAAACTCTCCTTGGAAACCTAGCCTTCCTTCCATTCTCATGGCAGGATCCAGAATTCTCTTAAACTCAACTTCCACCATTTAAAAAGATTGGCTATCAATTATTGTGACTTTACAGGTAACCAAATAATTTAAACTTCAAGAGACCCTGTCTTTCAGAGCTCTGTATTTTTCTCTTTTATGCATAAACTTATTCCATCAGCTCAGAGACCCTGCTATTTTGTGACTTTTAACCCCAACTGAAAATAAACTATAATACAGGTTTCACTTCTCAAGAAAGCTTCCATGATTTTCACTTTGAGCTACAGGATTCCATGTCATGTTGTGTCATGTTACTGTTATGATAAGTAAGAACAGCTACTTAATATTTGGAAAGAAGGTAAACAGATGTAATAAGGGGGAAAACACCATTCTACATTTGCAGTCATTCAATAAATACAATAACTGTATTGTACAGACATGAAGGTGACCCTCTTTCTTTGACGTACAATCACAGAAATATTTGCCAATGTATTTTCTCTGAATCAATAAAAGCTGAAGTTTCTAATAATCCAATAACTGTCCTTGAAGATATCTAGAAGGGTGGTATTAGAATAACAGTTGGGATGTTGTCTGCCATACCATCCCTCATACTTCTGCTGAATTTTGCAATAGGGGTTCTTCATCTTGCTGTTTGGAACCATTATGGACCATAAGGTAATTTGAATTTGTTTCTCTTATTGTAAATATTTCCATGTGGCTCAGGGTAGCAGGGGGATGGAGCGGTTTTGATCAGAAATCCTGGTCCCTGGGGGTGAACTTATGGGGGTGCTTCAGGCATCAGCTGAGAGGAGGAAAGGAGAGAACTCTACTCTCTCATTTCCTGCACTTAAGTCAACAGGAGGCGGTGTGTGAGTGTATTTAAAAGAATAAAAACCATTACCTGAATTTTAATTTTAACTCTAGATCTAATTATAACCAAATTTTTAATTTTAATTATAAATGTAATTATAACTATACCTGAACTTTTATCCAAGTCTTATTTTTGGCTAAGCACTATGATGCTGCTTCTGCCAGGGTTAGTGGTCTTGAAGTTTCAGGACATGGGTCTGGATTTGGGGGATGTTGTCATTTGTTCACTGTTATTGTTTCTTTAGATAAGAGATGCTTTGAGGATGAAGATGTCTTCACTGAAGGGCAGAACAAGGGCCGCAGAGGTAAGCCCTCCCGTTCAGTCTCAATACCAAAGGGTCAGTGTCCTCAGGAGAGTCACACGAGACAAATATAGCTTAGTATTCTAGAATTGTTAGCAAAGAGAATTATTAGGGCACACATTCATTCGTTCATTTCTTCACTAGTCAAATTTGGAGTAGCCAGCTAAAGCTTAAGGTCAGTAGAATATACCTCTCAAGAGAATGTTCCAGCTTGGATGTATTTCATCCTTCTGGACCATTGGATGTATTTTGAGGTCTGGACCGTTGAGATGGGACAACATGAAACAAGGATCATAGACTCATAAAATACCAGAGCTGGGAAATGAGAGATGAGCTAGAAATGAAATTCTAGTCCAACCTAGTCGTTTTCTAGGTAAGGAAACCAAGGCGCAGAGTACTTACGAGATTCGCCTGAAACCCAGTTAATCATGAGAATTCATACTGTCCTTGCTCAGGATTCTGATTTTCAGTAAAACCCTATTCTTGGATTGAAGTATATGTATACTTATTGATCCTGAGCTTGACCAAGCTATCCATCTTTTAAGGTACCAACTGAAATTGCCATCATTGCCATATTAATTAGAAAGCAGTCATTTACTCAACCAATAGTGTCTCAGTAGGAGCTACTTTCTTAAAAATAAACAAAACATTTTCTGAACACATTGAAAGTCAGCATTTATAGTTAGCTACTATTTGGTGTGACTTTTGTTAGCCTGGTTCATCAATGCTAAGATAGGCATTTTCTTTACCTTTTAACATTTCTGCAATTGGAATGTATTTTACAATCAGTGGCATGTCATGATTTAATTGGCAAGATTTTTCTTTCTTTTTCTCAGTGGAACATAAAAAGAATGATGCAGCTAACAATGTTAGTTTCAATGAAATGTAATTTTATTCTGTGTAGCTGTGTCATTTCGAATGCTTGTTTTCATGTTTCCATTTTTACATGTTTATCTCTAGGCAGTCATATACATAAATATAAATCAATTTTTTCAATGCCGTTACTTACTGAGATCACTGGTACTTTTTTCTCATTTAGAATGCATCTTTAAGCCCAACCAATGGATCTAAATTAATGAATCGTTGAAGATGAGATGTGAGTATTAAAAACTCAAGGAGAATCTTCGCTTTCAAGTTGTGACAAACTCCTTAATGCCCTTGTGAGCACACGATTGCCTATAGTGTGATGCAGGAGTGAGATGGGGAGGGAACAGTGGACAGATCTTTTAGAGCTTAGAAACTGCTTTATTGCTCAGCGCATAAATGAAAATATGCACATCTTTAAAACCTATGCCATCTCAGTGTATATGTCTAAATCTTTAAAAAAAAGTTTTTATTTAAATTCCAGTTAGTTAACATACAATGTAATATTAGTTTCAGGTGTACAATAGAGTGATTCTACACTTCCACACAATACCTGGTGCCCTCCTTCATCCCTGTCACCTATTTCACTCATCCCCCTGCCCACCTCTGTCTCGTCACCATCAGTTTGTTCTCTGTAGTTGAAAGTCTTTCTTGGTTTACCTCCCTCTCTCCTTTATCCTGCTCTGTTCATTTGTTTCGTTTCTTAAATTCCACATATGAGCGAAATCATTGTCTTTCTCTGACTGACTTACTCACTTAGGATAACACTCTCCAGCTCCATCCATGTTATTGCAAATGGCAAGATTTCATTATGTTTTATGGCTAATATATATACATATACATAATATATAATATACTATATAATAATTTTTTTTTATCCATTCATTTGTCTATGGACACTGGAGCTCTTTCCATAATTTGGCTACTGTAGATAATGTTGCTATAAGCATTGGGTTGCATGTATCCCTCTGAGTTAGTATTTTTTATTCTTATATGACCAAATCTTAAATGTACTTTCCTTTCCTCAGTGAGAGAATGATATCATCACATCTATACTGATAGAGGATACACCCTTGCTGTCTATAGCATTCACACACCCTAATTCCTTCTTGTCAGTGAGTGGTGACACTTATAACAACCTCATTGTTGAGAAGGAAGACTTAATTGATTGAAATCACAAAGCAACAAGCCTATCCTTCCATAGTGAAGTAGAGCCCAGAATCATCCCTAAGGGGGTGTGGGTTAGAATTCCAGAGAGCTAGCTGCCTCACAGCCAAACTCTGAGACATATTTCTACACAGATGAAATTAGGAGAAAACAAATATTAGGCATCTATGAAGGGGAGATCAGTAACACAGTGGCAGAGCCTGAGAGGTAGTAGGGAGAGGTAGGTGGGAGGGGGGATCAAGTTGGGTACGGTTTTGTCTTGGAGAGGTTTCATGGCCTTTGAACATGGATAAAGATGAGTCTCAGATTTGTTTAAACACCATCTGGCAGGGGTACATCCTTTTTTATATTCCTTCTCTTTCTGAGTCAGGGCAGAATAGTGAACAATGGGGCAAAGCGGGGAATTGAAACAATCTCATGGAGTCAAAGACATTCTGAGTTGGTAGAACTCTTAAGGGACCCGCTGTGTTACAGAGCCTACAAACCTCACGTTGTGCTGCTATGGGACCTTGGTTCATGGTCCCAGGGAGAGGGAGGGAAAGAAAGAGGGCTTTGTCATATCCACTGACTGCCATGTGTGGGGTGCTGGGAAAACACCAGCATGTAATCCTTACTTAATCATCCTCACATCTGGGTTTTTATATTAGAACTGTAAAAGGAGTGAGGAGGGATATCAGAGTCTTTTAAAAGGATTATCTCTCCCACCTCTGCCCATTTTCTAGTCCGTAGATCTCCTCCAGAGTGGAACATCACTATAATGTTTCTTGATCAGTCACTTCCCAGGAGATAATTCAGATGACCTGTGCAAGATGACCTTTCCAGTAAGGTCCCAGTTTGACCTGCTTTAGGAAGTTTGTTAGACTGTTTCAGGTGGAGGAGATTCTGGCTCTTGGGGATCCGAAATCTAGCCATTCTAGAGAAGAGAGGTATGGTTAAAGTCTAATCTCCAGCTAGTTGGGCATACCTGGTTGGCTATAGTAAAAATTGGAGAAGACCCATAGAACCCAGGATCTGGACTGCACTCCCTCCTGTGATGGGGAGGTGCACCAAGCTTCCACAGGCACTTGGGGGAAAGTGGAGGAAGGCGGTGGGAGTGTATTAACAACTCTCCAAAGAAATCCTCGCCTCCTGTTTCTTCACCTCTTACTTTTGAACCTGTGAGGTGGGGCATGAACGGAGGGTTGCATTTTTTTCGGCATATCCTTCATAGCTGGCCCTCTCCTATTGAATTTTCTCAGTCATTGGAGCTGTGCTTTTTACATCTGGACGCACATGGATCAGGACCGGCGGCTGACATGAGGGTTAGACCACGTTAGGGGCCAGCAAGTTAGACATCAGGAGTAGGAAATGTACTCTAAGTAAATGGAGACCTAGCAGCACCAGGTGGGGTGTGGGTCTTTCAGCAGAGAAAGAGAAGGGCTCCAGCCCGTCAAGGTCAGAATTACAGCTCAGCTGCACGGGGTGTTTCGTAAATGCAGCGCAGGTGCAGCCCAAGGCAGTATTCCTAAGTATTCCTAAGCCACAAGGAAAAGGCAGTATTTCAGGCCTTTAATCAGTGCACGAAATTGAAGGCTGATGGGATCTGAGGAGATAGGGAGAAGTCCGTTGGTGAGACCGGGGGCAGGAGTTCCGAATAGGACTTGGCAGAGACTTGAGACCCTGGGCATGGGTGGAAGCTCCACATATCCCAGTGAGCTTGATTGCTCTTAGAAACAAGTTTAGGGGGGCACCTGGGTGGCTCAGTGGGTTAAAACCTCTGCCTTCGGCTCAGGTCACGATCCCAGGATCCTGGGATCGAGCGCCCTGTCGGGCTGTCTGCTCTGCAGGGAGGCTGCTTCCTCTTCTCTCTCTGCCTGCCTCTCTGCCTACTTGTCATCTCTCTCTGTCAAATAAATAAATAAAATCTTAAAAAAAAAAAAAAAAGAAACGAGGTTAGGAAAGATTTGTTGGAAGATCTTGAGATCATGGAAGAACTGCAGAGGTGTGCAAACCCCGCAGTTGGCTTTAGGTATAGATTCTAATCGAAGGAATCCCATTCTGGAGGCAGACGAGGGAGGGAGCTAGAGGACAGGCTTATTATGAAGGCACAGCCGCACAGCGCCCTCTGCTGTTCATATGTGAGGCGGGCCTTTACTCGGACGCAAACAGAGCCTGTTTCCCCAGTGTTAGTCCAGTGAGAACAGGAAGTCTCTTCAGTTTCTGTAAAATCCCCTCCACATATTTGCTTATGCCTGAACTCACCTCAAAGGATGCAGAACTCTTCATCCCACAGTAAGACATGAGACTGACTGAGCCAGTGCCTCAGAAAAGCAACATGGTTTTTTAAGTAAAGTTTTAAGTTCAGAGGAGCAAGTCATTCTAGAGACCAAGCTTAGGTAGCCGTAGAGGGTGAGAGGGCTCTGGGGACGGAGTTTAGGGCTGAGGGAGCAGCATGGAGAAGGCAGAGGGCACAGAAAAAGGAAGCTGGGAGAACAGCCTTCCTACTGTGTGACTTTGAGGAGATTGCTTGATGCCTCTGTGCCTGTTTCCTCATCTGTGAAATGGGTCTAATGATCGTACATACCTCCAAGGATGGTCTCAAGATTCAGTGAGCTAACATATTCAAAACTTGTAGAATGAGGCCTGGCTCAAATTAAGTTATCAGTAAATGCTAACTATCCTTCCTGTTAACGTGTGTTCCAACCATTTTGCCTAGGACACTCCATTCCTCATGGATGTTCCGTGTCCTGGACTGAGAGTGAAGCTCTGGGAGAGGGAGGCCAGAATGAAGGACAACCAAGTTTCCTTGGAAGACTTTCTCTTCTGGCCAGGAGTGACACCTAAGCTGTCAGGGCAAAAATGCTTGCTGAGGAGAAATTGAGAATGTCGTTTGGTGACTGGGCTTGAAGGAGCTAGAACCACTGACTCTTTGACCGACCCATGACTTGCAGGCACCTGGCTTCTTGGTCAACCTTGGCAAGATTAAGACAGCAAGCCATTTTCTGAGCTTCTGGACAAGGCTGGAGCTGTTGGGTCTCTACTGGATGAGGTGTGTTTTCATGCCCAAGGCCTGCTCTGTGGCTCCATAAACCCGCCATTGTCATTGTGCATGAATCATGCTTGCTCTGGGGGACAGAAGTTAGATCCACTGTAGGGGGAGGGGCGGGGATGGGAGTCGGGCGGGGATGGGAGTCGAGCGGGGGGGGGGGGGGTGGCAGCAGAAATACCGACTCTACTTTGGAGACAGTTAAATTATAGTAGGTTTCCCAAAAATAGGGAACAGAATTAAAATAAGAGGACTTTTAAATGTGTTTCTGATTTTAGTCTATTAAAATAGACTAAGAAGTCTATTTTAATAATAATTTTGCTCCTAGGACTTTAGGTTCCTTATTTGTGATCTTAAAAATATTCTTGTAGGTATTATTATTATTATTATGTGTGTGTGTGTATGTGTTTAAACCCCTATACATAAAAAAATTTTAGAAATAAAAATAAAAACATTGACTTTTCACAACTTGCTCATGTGTGAGTTCATTCAAGGTGGATGGCCCCACTGATATGGTACATTCTTGGGTACAATTCTTTTATCAATCTACCTGGACCCATTGGCCAGACACACAGGAGTCCCAGGAATGTAATCCTACCATGTACTTATAAGGTGAGGACCTAGAAATATTTGGCAAACAGCACTACTGTCTTTCAGACATGGTCAGTGAAATTTCTTTCTTTTTTTTTTTTTAAATATTTTTTTTATTCATTTTTTTGACAGACAGAGATCACAAGCAGGCAGAGAGGCAGGCAGAGACAGAGGGGGGAAGCAGGCTCCCTGCTGAGCAGACAGCATACGGGGCTCAATCCCAGGACCCTGGGACCATAACTTGAGCCGAAGGCAGAGGCTTTAACTCACTGAGCCACTCAGGTGCCCCTCAGTGAAATTTCTATTGCCAGTGTGGTTTTAAACAGGCAACCATTGGGTAGGGCTGAAAATGACTGTGTGTGTGTGAAGGGTGCAAATTGATCAAAGCAGAAGTTGTAAAGGCCGGTCATCCCGTTTTCATGACACACACACACGAGTACTTTGCAGGCCTGCTTTCAGAAACTTTAGTGTTGGTAGTTTAGAAATAAGATAAGGATTGGTTTCAAATCAAACAGTAATATTTTAGTGCTGAAAAATTTCAGTCAATTGGACATTGTTCCCCTTTTATAAAATTAGAATAAATCATTCGTAATGAGGGACACAAATCTAACTTCACTATTTGTAAAATTTCCTGAGCGTTAATGTATTGACCCACATTTCCTTTTTGTTCTTGCTATTATGAAAACAAGTTTTACTTCTCTCAACCTCCCCCCGAGATTTAGAAATTCCAGAGCATCATGTAATTCCAAGCCAAATAATTGCCTTTAGTTGGGTAGATTTACTTGGTATTGTATCAAGGTCAAGTTAATAATTTCCTGTGATAATAGCATTTAGTTTCTTTTCTTTTCCACATTTTCCCAAGCTCTCCATCTTTTGAGTGCATATTTGGGGAACTATCAGCCTGAGTAGTGAATTCTGCCTTTTTAAAAAACCATCACACTATGCAAACTGGTCAGTGGCATTAGGGATCTAATATGCCAGCCTCCAGGAGTGAATCTAAGGCAGAAATATCTTAGCCCTGAGCAGTTCAGCTTAAAGACAAATTTTCTCTTCGGAATTTTTCCCTTTTGCTAATTCTCATCTCTGAACAAAACTCAGTGATTCAATGGTTGTACTTCCATTGAGAAATCCATTTTTCTACTCTTTGTTTGTTTGTTTTAGAGAGGGAGAGAGGGGTGGGTACCAGGCAGAGGGAGAGCAGAGCCGGATGTTGGGTTCAGTCTCACATGATCATCACATGATCGGAGCCAAAATCAAGAGTCAGACACCAACTGGGTCACCCAGGCGCCCAGAGAAATCCACTTTTCAACTGCATTATGGGGCCGGGTGATATTTTATCATCTTTTCCAACCTTCCCAAATCCAATTCATTCCATTGAGAGGTGTGGCTGGAAGTCTGCATGACAAAGAGAAGAGGTGGCTTTTACTTGGTGTCCCATCCCAGCTCTTCAAGAGGTAACAATCTGCTCAGGGAGTGGGGACTTGGTTTCCAGAGAAATGCAGGACCCCTGGGCCACAGTCAAGGAGTGGAACCACTGAAGGAGGCGATCAGAGAATGGAACTCATATTCTGCTCCTTTCTCTCAGCTTCCTCTAAGATCAAAGAGCCCTCAGCGCAGGATCTGAGGACTAGCAGAGGAAAGATTTCAGCTGATAAAACACATGAGGAATGTTGAAACTTAGTAAGCAGGAGACAATCAAGGTACAGAAGACATTTTAGGACAGTGGATAGAACTTTGGTTCCGACACAGGAATGGGCTCTGACATTCAGGGAGTAAGGACTGTCCACATCTCAGCCTTTGGGCCTGGGGATCTGGGGGGCTTGGCTCTGTGAGACCCTTCATGAATATGTGGTGTGGGCCAGTAGAAAGAAGACAGATTTTTTTTTGTGTTTTTTTTTTTTTTAAACAATTTTATTTACTTCAGAGGTCTTTTTTGTATGTTGGTTTCTCTTTCTTTCTTTCTTTCTTTCTTTCTTTCTTTCTTTCTTCTTTCTTTCTTTTCTTTTCTTTCTTTCTTTCTTTCTTTCTTCTTTTTAAAGTTATTTGACAGACAGAGATCACAAGTAGGCAGAGAGGCAGGCATGGGGGAAGGGGGAAGCAGGCCCCCTGCTGAGCAGAGAGCCAGATGCCAGGCTCGATCCCAGGACCCCGAGATCATGACCTGAGCTGAAGGCAGAGGCTTAACCCACTGAGCAACCCAGGTGCTCCAGGAAGACAGGTTTTGAACAGTCAAATATGTGTGGTGACTTGGGCAGGCTATTGGCCTCTACGGGTCTCCAAAAATGCTCATCCATAAAATCGTGGCAATCTAAACCACACCTTATGGCATGGTGGAGAGTGAAGAAGGTGATGTCTATAAAAGCACCTTCTCATTGTCTAGCAGATGGCAGACGCTTGAGGAATGGTAGTTCCCTTGTCCTATCCCTCTGTTTGTCTGGGGATGGGAGTGTGAGTGCACTGCCTTTCCTCTGAAGGTGTCTTTGGGTCTGTATAGCAGGTGGGGCAGCGTGTGGACTGGAGAAGTGGAATCGAGGCCTTACCTACTAGGACTTTCATTGGGCTCATGAGCAAGGACTGGAGGAGAGCTTGAAAAGTCCTTCTAGTGGGTTGGCCCGGTCACAGGATAGGAATGCGGACAGGGTTTGAGAGCGAGGGATCTTCCTCAGGAACGACAATCAAAACTGAATCTAGAGCCTGGAGCAAGAAAGTAAAGGACTTGGTATAGGATAACAACAATTTTCAGAGTAATGGAGAAGATAAATTCTATTCTTGAATGACTTAGTCACTTAATTCCGTAATTTAAAGCAAGCTTCGTGGAATATTAGTGGTAAGGGCTCTCCCGTGGTAAAGCTAATGAGTACAGAGGGTTCCTTGGGGAAAGACAGCTGGACACTCCTATTATAGTTGAGAAGACAAACCATGGAGATGGGTAACATGAGCTGTGCACATAGCCATGGATATCCTGGGCTCAGTTTCTCTGTCTACAAAATGGTCGTGAAAGCATGAGCCCTTCCCACATGCTGTTATGGGCCAGTTATGTCCCCTAAAAGTCCTATGTTGAAGTCCTAACCCCCAGTTCCTCAATATGTGACTGTATTTGGAGACAAGGTCTTTTTAGAGGTGGTTTTGTTAAATTGAGGACATAAAGGTGGGCCTAAACCAATGTGACTGGTGTCCCTATAAGAAGAAAACCTCAGGACACCGATAAGTACAGAGGGAAGACCATGTGGGGATGCAAAGAGAAGGCGGCCATTGCAAGTCAGGGAGAGAGGCCTTGGAAGGAACTGACCCAGCAACACCTTGATCTCAGACTTCTTGTCCCTCAGAGTTGTGAGAAAATAAAGTTCTGTTGTTGAAGCTACCTAATCTGTGGTATTTTGTTATGGCAACTCCTAGTATGCTAATACACATGGCCAGAGATTAAAAAAAAAAAAAATTCTTTTAGAGCAGTGTTAAGTTCACAGTAAAATTGGGAGAAAGGTAAAGAGATTTCTCATATTCACCCTAGCCCCCACACATACACAGCCTCTCCCATTATCAACATACCCAGCCAGAGTGGTACATTTGTGACAAATGATGAGCCTACATGGACACCTCATAATCAACCCCAATTCTAATTGACATTAAAGCTCACTCTTGGTTTTGTACATTCGATGGTCAACAAATGATCAACAAGATGTATCCGTCATTATAGTGCCATATTTCATTTCAGACAAATCTAATCCTAATATTTACTGAAGCCTACCATTTGCAAAGAGCATTGGAGCAACTGCTAGAGTAGATAAAGACAAAGATGTGAGGCCATTCTGCAAAACGTTGGCTGTGAAAATGGGTTACCCATCTATATTCTTGAAGGAAGCATTTGTCGTAGGTGCCACGACATACTGTGGAGTCTCCCTTCAGGCCCGAGACACTTGCTCCTCCAGCTGCCAGGAGTGTTGCTGGCTGATGGCTCACAGCCCAGTTCCTCTCTCACGTTGCTCCACAATGACTGAAGGAAGCTGCCTCTGCCAAGGTCCTACTGGAGTCAACTTGCATCTAAGGACTTAGTGATGTTGTATGTAAAAGGCCAGCCCCCTTGCCATTCTTTGTGCAGAGTGAGTTGAAGCAATTGACAGTCTGAATGTTTTGCATGGTAGACCGAGAGTGTTGAAGTTTTTCTAACATTTAAGATATGTCGTGTCCTATAGAAGTAGGTGTCACTTTTTTTTTAAACTAAGTTACATTGTAGCAAAGTAATCTGAAATCCAAATATTTCAAGTTCCTCAGCTATTACTAGAGACCTGCCAATCAGTGACCTCGCAGGCTGCTTAGAACCCTGAAAAGAGGGAGCACACCTCCTGACCTTGAGCGTGGCCATCCAGAAAGAATACACTTTGAGATGTGATTGTTTACATGAGGAGTGAGACCCCTTTGAAATCAGTCTACTGCTCTTCTTGATTTTTAGAATGATTATATAGTAAAGACAAACAGGGGAAAACTCAGGCTCTAGCACCTGCTATGAACTCTGGGAACACC